TGATTGGGGGAGGCAAAATTGACTTCAATCTAAGGAATTACCTAAGCATTACAACAACATTGGTTCAATTTCTGATGTACTGAATTGGCCATCTATTTTCTGTATGTTATTTCAAGGTCATTGTCATGGATTAAGCTGAGACAAGATTTCCATCTGAGGCTAATGGAAAAACCCTTTAGATTTTCTGAGTCACTCAGTAAGGGCTTGGTATTTTTAAAATCTTAATCTTGCGTTCAGATTGCTCTTTACAAGTCTCATTCCAGGGCGCCAGCGTGGCTTTAAGTTAGTTATGTTGAAGAATTAATCTCCACAGAGAACGGATTTTTTTTAAAAACCACGAAACCAAGGTGAAGGAGCAAAAGCCCACATTGCAGAGCACCGTCAAGGTCGAAGAATAAGAGAGAACCTAAATCCTAAACTTTAAACTTACAAATTGAATTGAGTCAAATATACTACTTACAATATGCAACTTATACTGTAATGAGGTAACATAGTAATAAATGCCTTTGCTTGTGAAGGTTGATGTTACTGACTTGAGGTCATGTGCCATCATTAACACGATGGCATTTTCTAACGAGTCTCTCTTACTTATCTGGTACATTAATAATAATAATCGTTGCATTTGATATAGCGCTTTTCACGTCTTCTAGACGTCCCAAAGCGCTTCACAGAATATACTGTAAAGTGAATTGACTGCATATTTGTGGGCGAATGCGGCAGCCAATTGCGCATAGCAGTGTCCCACAAACAGTCGTGGATTGAAAATGACCAATTTATTATTGTTTTTTTTTGGAGGGATTATTATTAGGCTCTGTGTGGAGTAAGGAAACTTGCCCAAGGTTTCGCCCTCTGCCTGGAATTGAACTCAGGTTTCTCACTTGCAAAGCGAGTGCTCTAACCACTGAGCTACAGGACTCCACATGTGGCACAGTTTGCTTCATGGGAACCAAGAGAAACATTATTCCCATGTTACTCATTAACCTTTTGTCGAGAGCCACAATCGCAGCAAAGCGGCTTACTTTGAGGGCTGCTGCAGGGAGGGTTCCATCACCAAATGATGGGAGCTGGGTCCAACCAAGCCTGCAATTCTCTACACAATGAACTGATTTCAATCATTCCTCAGTGGCAAGTGAATGGAAGCCCGTAACACATGAGGTAATGGGCTTGCCAATGGCCAGAAGTAAGAACCAGTGGCGGGATAGAGGGGAGGGGTTGTTGGGATTCAGTACTGTTGGTATAATCCACTCTAAACAGTTTGTGGCAGTGAAACAATAGAGCTTTTCTCCTCCAACTTCCTCTCCTTATCTGTGGGCGATTACCTGCAGCCTCAACACTTTTTCATACACGGATTGGGTGGATTGGATGGTTAGTGCCAGTGGTCCATTTGACTACATTGTGTACTCACTGACCCACTGGGTGAATTTACGGTCCTGAATTCTTATCTTTTAAGCAGCAAATCCCCAGTGCAGTTTTTAATCATACACCAAACACCCTTCAGTCACAATCAGCCAATTGCTCGGGATGCTGCTGCTTTCAAATGTTTTCCTTGACTTTGCTTTGATGAAGTTGAAATGCTAGATGCGATTTCATGGCTTTGATCCTAACCCTCCCAAGGGGTTTTCTGCAGTTCAAAGATTTAAAGGGACAGCAACATATTGACAAAATTCTTCTTGGTAAACCCTGTTTACTGGTCAGGGCTACTGTTACTAGAGCCACATTTTTGTTCGGATGAAAACTCACATCCAGTGATCATAAAGTGATCAATCTCCTTGTTACATCTTTATCCCAGGAAATGTAGCATCCATAAATGATGGAGAGGTTATAGCGAGGTTGCCTGGCTAACACTCAATCAATTATAATCTTTAATTTCTTTTTTATTATTTTGGCAATGAAACCTGATATTTCATTGCTGCTGACCAGGTCTGATCTGATTAGAAATATCTTTGATGGGAAGCTGAATGCTTCAAGCCAAACAAATTCCAATCTCGGGCAAGAATGATTTTGTTGGCATGGCATCCAATCTCAGTAAATGGATTTGTTAAACAAGTTTATAATGTCATCTGTCTTGTACATGCTCTTCCCAGCTTCCACTGCACGAGTATTAACAATGCTTCTCTGAATATTCCTCTCAAGTTCCAATACACTGTCCTACATGCCTTTGTTGTCCCCTGCATCCTCATGGAGCTGTAAACAAGACTCGCTGCGTCTCCTACTCTACCTCATTCTTTTCCAGAACCTCAAGACTAAGGAATGAAGGAAACATTCAACGTTCAACAGAATACAGGCAAAATAGATTCACAACCGAGGGCGTGTGAGAGCGAGAGCAAGAATTGGGAGCGAGGCAACAAGTGAGGGACAAGCTTTTTCTCAAACTCAGATGTTCACTCAAATCAATTAATTTCACAGAATATCTTTCTCTTGTTTTCTTTTAAAGCCTACAATTTATCCAACTCCGTTGAGTGATCTTGTTGAAGTTTGCTGGCAGTTTAGTGGCTAATTCAATTAAAATGATCACAGAACACTTCAGCCCGTCACTAATGGCCTCATGCTACGAAGCATGAAAACCACGGAAAGCTTTGCGCTAATTATTATAGTAAATTCACATGGCTTTTGAAGTCAATGGAAGTGCAAGGAATAAGTTGTACTGTTCTTTGGCAAACAATGCTTTGCAACTAAGCTTATTACAGTAGATCAACAGTGCCTTTCTCCCTGTGGTAGTCACTCATGTTGTATTTTTCTGGGTCAGCCAGATCTGACATGTGCAGAAACCCATCACCGATGCTTAAGAGTAATCCAAACCAGACCGAGATTACCATGTTAGGCACCTACACATGAAAACATTTCCATGTCCGAAATGGAATGTGCATTCTGTCCCTGGAGGTTTGCATCCTGCTTACGTAATTCCAGAGAGTATTTGGCACACGTTGGCAAGAACCATGGCTTGGGTTCCCAGAGTGGGCTTTAGGGTACTGCTAGAGTTTAATTCGCATTGGATGCATATTGGGATCCATTGAGATTGAGAGAGATGAAACCACAATACAGTATGGTTTCAGCCACCCTAAGGACCATGAGTAACATTGGCTGAAATTTGCATATGTGCTTCTTCTTTGTGGAGTCCTGTAGCTCAGTGGTAAGAGCACTCGCTTTGCAAGCGAGAGACCTGGGTTCAATTCCCGGCAGGGCGAAACCTTGGGCAAGTTTCCTTACGCCACACGCCTTATAATAATGCCTCCAAAAAACAAAAACAATAATAAATTGGTCAATTTCAATCCATGAGTGTTGTGGGACACTGCTATGCGCAATTGGCTGCCGCGTTCGCCCACAAGTATACAGTCAATTCACTTTACAGTATATTCTGTGAAGCGCTTTGGGACGTCTAGAAGACGTGAAGAGCGCTATATCAAATGCAAGGATTATTATTATTATTCTTGCAGACAAACCTACTGTAGAATCTTTCTGTTTTCTCCCTTCTCCCCCTCACTTTCACTCCTGAAGATATAATCTCCTATGAATGTCTGAGTGAGCTGTGCACATTGTAATGCCACCAACGGTTGCAAATCCTGCAAGCAACAAATAATCGTTTCTATAAGTTACATTTTGTTTCATTGAGAAGTAGTGGGTCTGTATAGAAAACGGAAGATTTAAAGGAACGTGGGAGGTAAGAAGTTTCACAGCCTCGAGGTCATTGGAAAGAATGAGTTTGTACTAGGAGGCATGCATTTCCTGAATTGAAAACTCAACCAGTCATAATCAAAAAAAAATTAAAAATCAGAATTAAAACAAAATCTTATCAATAATGCAAGGGCATATCAACGTTACATTAAAAATATGTTCCACAGCTCCTCTAAGAATAGTGTTCAAGATAAGGTTAGAGCAAATGCTTTTTCAGTAATTATGTTGAGGAGAAAAATCATCAAATTCTAGCCTCAGGGTAGGTACAATGTGTCAAATGAAATAATTTATTCAGTACGGGAAATGTCCTAGAAAATGTGACACCGTTCTCTCTCCATCATTTTTCATTATTTCTCTCCCTTCCTCCCCCTCCTGTCCCCCACCCGTTTCCTCCACCCTCCACCCCCCCACATCTGTGAATGATGTTTCCTTGGGACATGAAAGGTGCTATACAAATGTAATTTGCTGTTGTTGCTTGTTGTTGATGTGAACAGAGGGCTGTGTGTACATGTCACCAGCTACTCAACCATGCTCAGTGCTACTGATCACTAGAAAATATGACAGTGAGTAGAGATGAATATTTGTTTGATTTTGTCTCCCTCCAGAACGCCTGAGACCAGATCACACTCTTGACTGTTTTTTGCCACAACCCTTCCAGCAGTTGGACATGTTCAGAAGGTCAACCCTAATTTATCCATCCTGCTTGTTCAGTTGTTCTTGTTGGGGATTTTAGAAGAATTCAGAGCAACTCTGCTGCCCGTGTTAGATTTTTTAATGATTAAGATCTAGTCATAAGATTGGATTGACAATTGAAAATAGTACCCTATACCTTCTTGACTTGTCCAATAAACCACTTGTGATCAGCAGCTGAATAGTTTTGTAACATTTATATTTATACTGCACCACAGGTAGGGTGGTCCTAGCTGGAAAAGCAATGGAAAAACTTGGCCAGACACTGATAACATTGGCAAGCTATGTGGTTTTAGCTGGTTAGACTCCAGTAGTACCCCTACACACACTCTGTGGTCCCCAAGCCTTGGCTCTTGCCACCCTGTCCTAATGCCACCCACCCTGCTGTGATGTGGAATGTCTGTCTTTACCTGCTTTGGCTGCACAGAAATAATCAACTCCATTTTGCAAACAAATTTACAACTGATTCGGGATAAACCTCTCAAACAGCAATGGGATATCAATTATGGCACAATTATCAATCTGACAGTCTTAACCCGCAAGGATCAGACCTCAAGTACAGAGTGTTAATCAGGCCCACAGTCACTCTGTATCTGACAGCTGGTGGCTTCTATACTATGGTCTTCTGCCACACTCACCGCAGTGCAACTGCTTTCTGCCTTGTCCTCCACGAGCCCAACCTGACAGAGAGCCCTCTCGTTCCGCAGCCAATATTCAGTGGAGTCTAGCAAACTGTTACTGCACAGTACCTGTCAAGAGAGAAAAATATTTAACCGCTTTGCTTCAATCTTCAGGTTCAGCCTAAGTACTGTTTTATACAAAATGCCCCCAATTCAAGGTTTATTTACTCTGATACCATAATTTCTTCTGCTCAGAATACATCCCATTGTAGGATGTTTTCTTCCATTAGGTGAGATTGATAAGACTTTGTGGGAGTAACGATGATTGGGTCAGAATGCAAAAATATTATCCTGTTTTATCCTTCATCTCATCTGTCCTGAAAGAAAGCAGAGACTGATAATATTTCCAGAATCTCCATGATGGCAGAGTGAGTTAACATACTGCCTGGTATAGCACTGACCATATCGACCATGTGGTTTGAGTTGAGTATTACAGTTATAATATCCAAGGTACCCTAGTCAGGGGAGAGGGATGAGGAGCAAGAAAATAATTAGCCATTCTTCCAACCATTGATTGCCACCCAGTGATCCTCACTTGGAAGTAAAATGTGTGTGAACGTATTTGTGTGTATGTGTCAGATGAAGACAGGATCAGGCTCATTGTGATACACTTCGCAGTTGAATAGTTTGTCAGTGCTCACTGTTTGGCAGCAATTCTCTCGTACATGAAGAATGGGTGATGGAATGAAGTACCCCATTTCCCCAATGAGGTGAGGTAAGCTTGGATGGTGCCCTAGCTAAAACCCACCTTTTTTGAAGTGAGGATGAAGGAATTTTTTGACAAAATGCTGTAAAAAAAAGTCCCTGAGGATCTTTAGCCATAGATTTCAACCGAAAAGAGAACACAAGGGATAGACCCAGTCTAGATTGAGAGACAGTCCCTGAAGAAGCAGACAAGATGTTTACTGAGTTGGAAGAATCATAACACCCAGCATGGGACTGTGACATTTACAAATGATACTGTGTTCTGATGTCCTCAAGACAAACATCTGCTGATTAAATGAAAATGACAGGCACAGAGATTATGAGTTGCAGTAATCTCCAACAGGCAAGGCGTCATCCAGATCCAAGGCAAGGAAAAGAATGGAAGACACCAGGGAAACCAAATGAGAGCATATAAATTACATAAATACTGCTATCCAGCTCCATTTTCCCAAGACTTCAAGACTGTGGAACTCCTTACCTCCTGCAATCTTCTTTTCTACAATCTACAGGCTTTTATAACCCAAGTTAGTCATCACCTACCCATCACATCTTGATCTATTCCAACTGCTTTTTTACTTTGTTCAACCTTCCTGGCATCTTGCACTATGATCCTTGAACCGTCCGAGCAAAAAATAAATATTTTAAAAGAAAGTCAGTTACTCAATGTGTTCCCAGAATAGACTAGACACATTCCCAAGGACCAAAATGAGGAAGTGGGTGGGGGGGGGTGAGGAAAGGACACGACAGGACAAATAATTCCATGGGTGAAATTGTGTTATGTTCTGAATGCAAGCATTTGAAAATACCATGTAAGGAGTCTGGAGGAGTAGGTGGTTAAAGCATCAGTGCTAGACTGAATCTTTTATATGGTTCATTTATGATCTCAACTAGCACTAGCCAGGGGGGGAAGGAGTGAGGATCTCAAAAGAGATACACTTTGGACAATAAGCAAGCTGTGATCTCAGGCAAGTTGTGATGGTGTCTGGGAGCCTGGAGGGACCCTGTATTTGACAGACAGGACCTACACATGTGCAAGCTTTAACAACACAGGGACCAGAGGTCAAAATATAAAACAAATTACATTATCCAAAGTGACTGGTTTTAGCCTATCTGGACAGACCTTGGAACTCTTTAAATGTGATTCAATCCACAAAGAGCTCTTCAATTCAACCAGATGCTTAACTTTTTTTAAAAAAAAGAAAGCTAATCACATTAAGAGAGGCATTTTAAATCAGATCTAGCCAGGCTTCCAATGCTCAGTAATAGAGTGCTGTACATTACCACAAATTAGAAATCTGCTGCATGAATCTGGGGTAAGAGCACAGGGTGTACCCAACTCCATGTTGTGTCGATGTGTTAATTGCGCTACCATACATCGGGTTTGTGTCCTGGTGTATTTTTCTGCTCATTAAGGGGAAGGATGTACTGTTGGAAATAGAAAACTCGCCAGCATCAAGCCCTCCCAGGTCAGATGATGGTTAATTGCAGAGTAAAACTCCCTCTACACCAACAAGTCACCTCAGGCCTAACCTCAGAAGAGATCACCTCCTACTGCACCAAACGAGTTTGTCATTTGCTACCAGGCACCAGTGGTCCCTCAGTGATAATGCCAAATTTACGGGTGTTGTGTTCTGACTTCAAACCACCTTTAAACTGGGTTAAAACTGAACAAAACCATTTCTCATCGAATCCTTACAGTCCACAGTAGGTGGAAGCCAATGTCTAACTGACTTTTCAGTATTAATGATCCCAATGGCATATTAAAACATGCCTGATATGTCTGATCTCAAAAAGCACCCACAATTTTAATAGCACTTTCTCCACTCAATCCCCTGTAGTAACAAGGAAATGTGAGATTTCAACTCAGATTTAAAGATCTCATCAGAACTGAAGTCTTATGATTCTGCATGATGTACAGGAACTTGACCACACAATTCAGCTCTTTTAGACACCTTTATAATGAATCTGGAGATTGAACGATCAGATACTGGACTCTTGGATCTGATTGGATTCAACTGTCGTATGTTTGCTGTAGGCGTCCTATTTGAAATGGTTTGGGCAGCATTAGCTCAGTTCCTGTAAGACGTAGGCACAAAGTATAATTGACAGTGCTTCTGAAATTACATTCAGAGAAACTGAAGGATAGCTGGTGTGGGAAATTGAAAAGGTCACACTGCCTTCTTCTCCTCTGCCAAATGCAGCTGTGTGATAATTACCCATCGAGGCAGCACAAATCAGGCTTTTCTTTGAGAGTTAATGGTGTAATTCCTTACCTTTTTACACGCTGTGATGGAGCTTCCTGTAGCGCGTGTGGTGAGGGTTGCTTTGCTGTCTGGGATTATCTCAAATTGCTTGGAGAATTGATGCATTTGAGAGGCTTCAGAGTAACTGCAGGGAAAGAAAAAAGACTGGAATCAGACTGGTAGTTTTGTTCAGTAGGTTATACTAGAATCACTGCTTTATCTAACTCAATGTTTATTAGATATTATCAAAATTGGCCCCTTAAGTGTACAACCTGTTCTGTATGAAAACATCTTCAACAGGTTATCTACCCTTAACTTGACAGGTCCTGTGCACCTGTTCAGTTGGACATTCAAAATCCTGTGACACTATTCAAGAAGAGAAGAGATTCTCCCTGTATCCTGGCCACCAATCCTCCAGATGAATTACTTTAGTTTCCAGGCAGTTTGTGGGACATTGCTGTGTGCAAATTGGCTGCCATGTTTACATACATACATGTCCACCACACTCGACAGTAAAATGCCCTTGAGACGTCTCAACATTATTGGAGCAATAGCAAATTCCAGGATTATTATGTTTATAGCATTATAAATGACTCAAAATTTATAATCTCAATTTAAAGGCCACAAGAATTCATGGTACTAGGAGTGAAAAATTCACACTGGGCAGCCAAAGTAACAAGACCTTTACCATACATTTGACCTTACCCAGGAGCACTTGCTGATAATTACACTAGTACCTAAAATAGTATTTTTTTCTCCGATAAGAAGCACAAAAGCAATAGTTTCCATAGATCACATTGCTCACTACCCAACCAAAAGAGCAGAGAGAGGAGAAAATGCTTTAGCTAAATTCCATGAAAGGCAGTATTGCCTGGTAAAATGGTGATTGTGAGAACTGTTTGGGGAAGGGCTTCTCCTATGAGCCCTCAAGCAATAAATAATGTGGCACAGACAGAGATCTCATCTCAAACACCCATTAGTGTCTCTAATGTACGTGGGTAAAGAGGCAAATACACACACATCAATCTTGATATAAATTCAACAACGTCACTCGGGAAAATGGTGTTGCATTTGAACCAATTAAACTAATATGATTGGCCCTCCATTTTGATAGATTACTTTAATGCACTCCTGGGAGAGATGATTAATAGGACCACCCATTTCTTACTTTGCAGAAAATAGACCCAATAAAACAATCAGCTTCTCCATCCGGGTACACTTTGTGGATTGATGGAACACAATAGTCAATAGCAGCCAATAACTAACTACCTTCTATTAATTAGGATAGAAATTAATTAAATCTGAATTTATTGATCAACTGTGAGAGATGTGTAATAGAAGAGGATTTAAAAATAAGTTTAAAATTCTCTGGCTTTCTAACCCGTTTCGGCCTCTATCCTAACCAACTATGCTGAATTTTACCCATCCGCCGCTGTTTCCATAATTAGTCATTGTCAACTATAGTCTTTTGCTCTTCTTCTACTGTCTTTAGTCATCGTCTCCATTGTACTCTGCTGTCTTCCTCACTTCTTTCTCCTTTCATTGTATAGAATTCCAACAGCTTAACCTTTTCCCATCCACTGTTATCATGTAGAATTGCAATCGCCCAATTCTGAAAATTCCATTTGGTCCATTCCATCACAAACATTCTCTCCAATTCTATAAAATTCTTTGACCCAAATTATCCCATTCATAAAATCACAGTTGATCTAATCACTTCCCAGTTATTCCCATTTTATGCAAGTCGAAAGTATCAAAGACTTTCCTACTGATTGTACAGAACTAAAATCAATTCCTGGCCTCATTCAATGATAGAAGCCTGTTACAATTCACTATCACACATGATTTATACAAACAGTTCCCCAACTGAACGCTCTGAATTTCACCTTGCTACCTAACTTCCAATATCATACAAAATATTACTGAGATATTGGATGGATGGATTTGGATTCTGGAAGACCCTTCTTGTATGGTGGTGTGTTCCTGAATAGGGTGGCCGGTTTCATTGAAGCTGTTAGTTCCCATCCAGTTCCTTAGTTAATTGAAGGGAGTGACTCTGAATGCAGAAATCAAAAGGGTCATCACAATCCAATGCTCCAAATCCATTCCATTGTGCATAATTTCTGTTCAAATAATATAATGTAGTGCAATTATTCAGTTCTCAATGATTTGCACAATAAATATGGTCATCCACCTGCCAAACTTCACTAAGATATGGCTGCACATTTTAGAAATCACTTTTATGGGCAATTTAGAATTTTGTTAAGTGCATTTTTGCTTTTGTTTGGAATGAATCACCAAATGAATGATTAATTAGGCTGGAGCTTAAGATATGCAAATTGCCCAATTTGCAACTGCAATTTAAGAAACTCCTGTCAAAGGGTCGATACTAACGCAAGCAGAAATTTCTTGGCTGACACGGTTACTCAGATTCAAGTGTGAAAACTGAGGTAATTAAGCAATTCCATAAGCTTCTCTCAGAAGACATCTGTTCCAGTAGTTCAAGCATATAGACCACTCAGTGAAGTAACATCCAATGGCTAAGTAGGCAATCGTACTGGTCAATCCTTAGTTGGCCGATCTCATCCAAGCCAGTAGAAGGGCACTAACAATTTGCCTTGGGATTGAGATCTCATTTATAATTGCTATCCAGTGTTCCCTGTTAACATGTACTTGAGCATGGACATTGGGTGAGGGCAGGGATCAGGCTAAATTGCTATTTGTCCCCCAGTGTCATACAACCGCTCATTGTTTAGGTTTATAAAAAATATAGAATGGCCTTGTGAGTGAGGGACCAGAGCGAGGGAGGTATGGATGGCATTATAGCTCACGCCCCATCACTGAGTCAGTCCTTCAGAAAAGGAAAGGGGAACATTGGAGGGAGTTTTTGTTATTTTAAAAAATGCCTGGCGTAAATACAAGCCTGTGAAAAACTCTATGTATTCAATAATCAGGAGACTGAGTAAGCGGATCAGAAACCTTAGCTGTTGACTCTTAATAACAGAACTAAGCCGCTTTCTCTTTTCAGTCCTAATATTTTGGAGACAAAGTGGAGAAAATCGTGTCCTGCGGAGGCTACATAATTGCTTCACAGGGGGCTGCTGTATGAACAAACTTGCCTCCTAACTTTGGCTGATTACAAAATGTGAACTGATTGGAGAGGATGTCAGGGTACACAAGTAGCACTTCCAAGTAGCTACCAGTTGTTATTCAAAGTTTCACTATAAATACGACAGAATGAGGTTTTAAGCTCGGCAAGTTCAGGAAAATTCCAGTTTCCCTAACCCAACCAATTTTGACTGTTTTCAGCTCACATACAATGAAACAAACATTATTATAGTAATAAAGTAAGGCATGTGTTGGGATAGGTACGTTAGCATAACATTTTCAAAATAAACATCATAAGTTGCCCTGAGAAGGTAACGGTGGTGAAAGTGCTTTCTCTTTAAATTGCTGCAGTCTGCATGAAGCGTATCATATAACAGGTTGGGGGTGGTTTAATAAGGGCACTTAACAGATTTCTAATGGATAGATTTCTAATAAACTACTCTGAAACAAAATATCAAGAAAAGTAATGAACCAGCAGCATCCTTCAAGCACCAGCTATTCACAGAGGCAGAAAGCCATGAAAGTTAATTTATTTTGATATATATATGTGTAAGCATTTTTAGATGATTTACATACTTAAGCAATTCACTGGTGAGAGCCAACTTGATAGGCTGTGGCCTTTTCTTATGAAAACTTTATGTTCTTTCAATCCATGTCAAAATACTAAGGAATGGGATTGGGTAGTGCAGCATGTTGGACTTTCGCACCTGAGTTGTGTTGGAATCATTACATTCTTTGGTTGCAAGAAATGAGTTTGGGACAGTCTCATCACAGTTCTCAGTGGATCAGTAGAAAACTAGTCTTTAATTTAGCGTTAACGTGGCAATCTCACTCAAGGTAGCTAATGTGGGAAATGAAAAATGCTGCAAAGGGGATGCTCTTCTGAAGCTGGAGTCAGGGCACATTGCAGCATTGCTGAGATGTAATAGAGGGAACACTATAATATTTAACTTATGAGAGACTGACTGCGAGTTTTTTAATGCCTTCTTGTCGTTAACTTGTCGATGTGGAATTTTGATGAAATCTCGGAATGTTAGTTGACTCATTCCTCACTAAGTCAAAAAAAAATGTGGGACAGCCATAAACAAGGCAAATAGGCTGGTCTATATAGCCAATTCAGCTGTGTCAGATCCCCAGGGGTACTCAAGCTCATAAAATGGTCTGGACAAACAGTACCCAAAGAACTGCATACAGTTCTAGATGCCAAGATACTGGGCTGCCCAGGCAGTGTGAAAGGCGCTATACAAATTTAATCTGTTGTTGTTGCAGAAGAGTGCATTGAGGATAATCCCCAGTGATAGAGGAACGAGTTTACAGACAAACTGAATCTCCTCTGTCTTGAAAAAAAAGATGAAACAGAGGGAACCTTATAAAGATATAAAATTTTAAATTAGATTGAAAAGGTAAACCCAGAACAATACAGTACTTTCAGATTTGCACTTACACTTATAGTTTCTCTTAAATATATGTAGCACCTTTCACCTTGGGACAACCATCTCAAAGCTTCTGACAATTCCGACTGGACATTGGAGCTGAGTTACAGAGCAAGTGACAGACTCTCAACTGGGACAGCGAGTGACTGGATCAGAGAAAGAAACATAAACTTTTCATGGACTTGGCACCAGTACAAAAACTCAAGTACTTTATACTTTATTCATCCTGTGAGAGGTTATACCTAAAGGAAAACTGACACTATTTTGCAAGATATACAAAACTGGATCCGGATTGAATTCTAGGAGATAAGGTATACAAGTGTCAGCAGGACCCCCACAATCTGTTACTTTACCATGTAAGAAACTCATTAGATTCAGTGCATATGGTGTTCTGTGAGTCAGATTGCTAATTCAGCACTAAATTAGGTTTATGCTGTGAGTCCACACCTACACGGCTGTGATTGTTGCCGACTGATTTCATACGGGATTCGACAGAAGGAACAGACTAGACCATCACTCCAATTTTTAAGCGTTCCATATTTGAGAACAGCCAACACCAAATTTACAACATCAGAGAAGTGAACATTGAAATGTCAAACCTTTTGAACAGACTGGCTCAGATGGCCAGACAACCGAGAACAACACGAGAACGATATCCATGAATGCTTCTGTCAAAACCTCTCCTCATACCATTCAGGCTGAATAACAAATTCACCGAACACCACTAAACTAATCCATCTTATATAGACTTCCAGTCATTCTATACGCTGTGTGTTGTTATTGGTATACACTCTGTCTGTGCACATGTCTCTGTTAGACCCCCATAAGGTATACAGTGCAAGTGTTTTTCTGTATACTGTATTGTATTACTTTTTTAAAATAAACATTTACATAGTCTGTCTTTATAAATGGAGATAATACTCTGCTTGATGGACATTCAGAGCATTTTGTGATTCTAGTGGGAACTCGGACAGAATGTGATGTGTTCAAGGCTCACATTGGGACTTTCAGCTTGTAGTTTAGGCTGACAATCGAGTGCAATTCTAGGGGAATGCTTCATCAGCAGAGGTGTTGTCCTTCGGATGAACCATTAAATTGAGGTTCCATCTGCGTGTTCAGCTGGACATTGAGAGATTCCATTTGAAAAGAAAAAGAAGTTTCTCCCGGTGTCCTGGCCACTGATTCCCCAGATAAAAGTGATCATTGACTGCATGGCTGTTTGTGAGACATTGCTGTCTGCAAATATAGTGTCACTACACTTTGTTGTAAAGCCCATATTGGACATTTTGACAATGTAATAAGGAGCTTTATCAAATGTAAGGATGATTATTATTTTCCAATAATCAAGCACAAATTCAAACTGCATTAACGTGTTGTCATGAAGAGCATTGTCACCATAATACTGTGCATTTGTTTCAGTATTATTATTATTATTATTAAAAATGCAGTTAAAGCATTGTGTTTATTAAAAATGGAATTAGGTACCCAGTTGGAGAGCGAATGTACTGGAGGATGAGCTTAAGTGGGCAAATTGCAATTTCTCATCACTGAATATTCTTATTCTCTAATGAAAGTTTGGCTCGAGGACCACCATCCCAATCAGGATGTTGCTTGAGTGCCCCTATTAAGGATGTTCCAACACTTTGCTCCATTGCTCCAGTGATGGGC